AAAAAAATCATAAGTCTCTGTTTACCCACAATAACTCATTTGGAATTATTAGACTGTCAATGAAAAATGGAAAGTAATAGGATGGTGGCTATTTTTTTGTTCACAAATTTCTAAATTACTTCTTACTTTCCTCCCTCCCTCTCTCCCCCCTCCCTTCCTTCCTTTCTTCTTTCTTTCCTTCCTCCCTCCCTTCTTTCCTCCCTTCCTTCCTTCCTTATTTTCTTCCTTCTTTCCTTTCTTCCATGATTCTTTTTCCTAGTGGAAAAGTTCATGGTTTCCTAAAACTTCAATGGGTTCTGTGGAAGAGATATGATTCATCTAATGAAACAGTTAATGTAATGCATATAAAACTAAAAATTATAAAACTATTTTTCCACATTTTTATTGAAGAGAGATGGAAATGAAAGTACTATCAGGGATGTGAATCCCTGGAGATTTTATCTAGTAATCGGGTATATTCAGTCATCATTAATTCCCATGGTTTAATCTGATTCCCATTGCCACTACAAAGCCTGTAGTCTGCTAGGATATGAGTCAGATATCCCCAGCAGGTACAAAATCAGGTCCAGTCATGGAATCAGCTAAAGTAGAGCAGGTGCTAAGATAACAATTGCCATTTCTCATTTGATAGATAGAGTCTATCTACCTAGCTATGTATCCATCTAGTTATCTAATCATCATCTCTCTATCTATCATCAATCATGAATGGGTCTTTTCTTTTGCTGAGACACTGTCTTGCATCTCTTATATTTGGTGTTTACTAAAAGTTTTTCCCTTACCTAACCTTTATCTGTTTGTGCCATGGAAAATGTACATTTACAAATTAACTAAAAGACAGGACCATATTTCAGATACTGCTAGAGAGTTTGAGTGTCTTTGTTATGTCATCGGGTGTTCTTGGTGAACCCTCTGAATGAACCACACACACACACACACACACACACATAATCGTAGGCATGATTTGTGGCAGTGATTTCTCTGAAATTTATATATACTCATCCAGTTTCAACTTCAGTGTATGAGAAAATGGAAATGTTAGTTCATGGTGAAACTAGAGGAATTCAGAACTCAATCCAACTTTCAGGTAGACAACAAAGCCTCAAAAACAATGAGCAGACTAGTCATTGGTACTAAGTACACTCTGGTTTTCTACTGAAACACAATGTTTTTATAGTCACTCCTTTTTTTTTTTTTTGCAACAATAATAAGGTTGTATTAAACAAAATAAATCTACTTTTATTAAACTTGTCCTCATAATTCAAATAAATGAAGCTATGATGGTGAACCCCCACATAATTTTAAACTTTGACATTCCAGTTAAGAAGTTGATA